GTGGGGGTGGGGGGGAAGTGAACAGAACAAAGGGGAAGAACCGCATTCTGTCCTTCAAAATTAATTCCATCAACTCTCTCTTGCCAGAGACAAGAAATCCCTCACCACAACAGAGCATGTGGTTCTTGCTCTCCCTGACCAGACCATGCAGCAAGGGGGACGGTAGAAACACAGCCAGGTCATCCACTGCAGCTGAGGGCAGAAAGCCATGCGCTCCCTCATTGAGAAACACTGCCCACAGTTGGCAACGTGCTGAGTATCACCAGTCCCTCACCCAACATCATCCTGATAGCATTGCCAGCTGGGTGAACCTCAGCACCATCTCTGCTCTGGATCATTTGCAAATAAGGAGCATTTAATGGGCAACTCTTTTGGTAGAATCTGGAGGAGACCAAGCTGCACGGAGGTTTCGGAGCCTGCCCTAAGCGAGGGGAGGCTCAGGGCCTGCCAGGCAGCACCCAACAGCTGGAGGGAAGGGAGGTTATCTTGGCAAGCCCAGTCGTTTTGCAGGTCCTACTTCATCTTCCTAGCATACTTGCAGGCACCAGTCTTCTCCATCCAAGTTCCCACTGACTGATCCAAGTGATGATCCAAGGTTATTTGCTTGCTCTTGTTAGAGCTCCCTTCAACTGCAGTCCACAGTCCATCTAGCTTAATTGTACTTTCCTCTCAACATCCCTGTCTCAACTCATTCAAGGAGACCCCCTCAGACATGCAACAATGGCTCATCCGCACAGTTCCATGAGAGCAAACAAACAAGCAAAGGAGGAAGAGAAAACCACAGCCAGAGCCAAGTATCTAATGTCAAGAGAACTTCCCTGTGGAACAAACCTTCCAGTCCTCACCTCTGTAATGAAGAGGATGCACTCCAGGAACATGAAGTCCTTATGGTTTTCGTTTACTACCTTCTCGTCAACAAAGTGTCGAGGCTCCAGATTTGGATGGTCTAAAAAGAGTAAGAGACAACAGGAAGTAACCTGTATGGCACCCCCCTTCTGAGACCAAGTTCAATCAGGTCTTGTCCTGCCCCTCTTCCAGAAGAAACACGGTTCTCCCATCAGAACTCTTCAGAAGTCAGCACAGAGCTGCTCCTTTCCATCTCATCTCCCACTCCAGTGCCTCAGCAGTGAGAGCACCTGGTAAACTCCCCAGGGCAGAAAATGTGTTTTCTAGCACCAAAACCAAGACTGTCCTTTTAAAAAGCTTGTAGTCATTGCAATGAAGACAGATGTACTGTACAAAGAAGCCTTCCATCTCCCAACCTAAGCAACTAGATTTGGAAAGCTGAGAAGAAAAAAGTCCAAGCTCCAAGCAAACTCTTCTGCTCTATTATACACAGATTTGACATATTTGAATTTAAAAGTCAGTCCCAAGCCCCATCATCTTTGCAACCTAGACAGACAGGGCAGGGGGCAGGCTGGGACACGAGAAGATTTTTATTAGTACCTATCAGCTGGGAACTGCCCCATATGAAAGGTAGAAATTGGAAGTCATCCAAGCCCCACACGCCCTGGCTGCCAGCAGGTTCCATCCTGTAGGTCTTCTGAAGTTTTCGCATCACTTCTAGGTACCTGAGACCAAAGAGAGAAGGAAAGGTTAAGACAAGGCCTTCTTCTGTCTTCATTGACTTACATGAGGACAAGAACTACCAGTTTGGAGAAGGACACAACTTTATCACTTGTAAGCAGGACCCCCACATATAGCACAGTACATATATATTCAGCTCCTTTGCCACAGAAAGCAGCCTGATGGTAGGTATAGCAGCAAATAGCAGCACCTTTTAAAAATTGTTTTTTTTTTTTTACACCAAATTCACTAAGAAAGCAAGTAGCAGGGGTTTACTTCATCTGCAGTGTCTTATATTGGTGCAGATCTTTCCCAACCCCCACTGTTATTTGAAAACATTGATACTTCACCCTCCTTCAACAACTTCCAAAAGAGCTCAGAAAGCTTTCCACCTTACAGCAACCGCTACTTCCACTTTCCAGGTGGAAGTACTATTGAAGGAAATTGTTTCTATGTCACCAAGCAGTGATACAGCTGGGATTAGATCTCTGGACTCCAAACACACATTCCACCAGTTTCATCACTACCAACTCTACCTCCTGGGCTGGAAACACATCTAGAGGAGCAGTGAAGGCCTGCCAGTTTCACAGATTTTTTTCTTTTTTTTTAATGCCTGAAGAGATGTTAGATCATCTGATCAGATATTCCTGTCTATTAGAAAGCACAGAGCTTCACCCACATACTTCTGTGGAGCTCAGTAACTTGTGCTCAGCTAAAGTAACTCTTCAGAAAGACACTCAGCCTCTAACACACAAGGTGATATCACCTCTTTTGGAGATGGTTACAGTGGGTCACTGTACAGTCCATTAGAAAGTACATCTGCCTCCTAATTTTGCCTAAATTTGTCTTCAGTTTTCCCATTCTGCCCTTCTTCCTTAGGCCAGCAAGCCCTTCAGTGCTCACATTCCCTAATTATGTACACATCTTTGTAGAAGGCTCTTGATTTGCCCAGCTTACACCCCAGCAGGAGGCTCTTCTTACAATTTCTCACCAAATGGGTGCAGATGAGTGGAAGAAAGGGGGCACAATCTGCCCAGACCACTGGAGGAGTCTGGTGTACAGAACCGGCAGTAACACCTCACACATCTCAGACAGCTGGAAGCGGACACTGTCAGGGATCTGCCCCCAAACAGCCCAATGCTTCCAGCCCTTCTCCTTCAATTACCTCACCTGTTAAATACTTTAAAGACAATGGCCATCTGGTCATCCACTCTGAGCACACCGATTTTGCAGAGGCAGCAGAGAAAGGCTGCAAATGCAGCTTCGTGCCCTGGAGTTAAAAGAGATAAAGAGATGTGACACTGGTGTCTCTGGTCCGCAGGACAACCTTTCTGTGGGGACAACGGCTCTTCAGAAGTCACAGCAGTCACATTCCATGTGTCAAGAGCCCCATCCAGCTGTCCCTAAGGTGCTACTTCATCCTGTTAATGACATGAGCTGACAATATTTCATCCCCACACAGCACCCACCCAAAGTATACCTTCTAGACATTCATAAGGTGATTATTAACTCTGAGGGAAAAAAAGAGTTCTTAAGGAAAAACAGCTCCAAAACTGGGTGTGCTGGGAGCAAGGCAGGGCCTTTCCCAGGAGCTTGGCACAGCAGGGGAAGTGGAGCACTGCAGAGTTGTCTGCTCAGGGGATGCAAGAGAACCTCACATCTGCAAATAAACAGATTTCCTCCCGCTTCAAAAATATCTGTGTCAGAAGGATGCAGATCCCATGATGCTGCTGGGAACAGTCCATCCCAGAAGGTACTGGGATCTCAGGCTGAGCCTCTGCAGCTTGGTTCTCCAGCTAACAGCAAGGAAAAGAAACAAACAGCAAAACCAGAGCAATGTCTTTTAGTGGAAAGGACCACAGAATAAGGGAGGGTACAAGATCAGCAGCTCCACGCTATGAAGAAGTGCAGCTGCCAGTGTAGGAACAAAGCTCACCTCTGGTCAAGCCACTGTGAGCTAGGGCATGGGCTTGGGACACGCAGGAGGGGAGGAAAGGCTGAATTTCCTTCCCTGAGCTGACAAAACCCCAGCCAGTGGGGCCCTTTCCAAAGGCAACATCTCCCCCTGGTGCCGGCGAGCCGCAGCTCTCCTGGCAAGCACTGCTCAGCTGCCAGCTCTTCACCCTTTTACCCACGTCCTCTTCACCCTGCCCAGGCCTAAAGTCATGTTTCCTTGCACCCACAGTGTCTTGCTCTTCTGCCTTTTGGTGAGGACACTCTCTTCAGCACACCACCCGTCCTCCAGACAGAGGAGCAGAGCATGTAGAAGATTCTGGATTTAAGTCTAACTGAAGCCAGTGTAGTTACTCCAACCTGCAATTCAGTGTCTCCTTAGGCGCAAAATGCTTCTACCTTCAGGTTTCAGAGCCCCTCTGTAAGCAGTGATGTCACTTCTAGGGAGCACCAGACTTCAAACTACCTCCCACTGAACACAAACTTGGTGCCCATTCCAGTTCCAATTCAAGTAATTGTATTTTATCCCTCTAAACTGCCTATTGCAGATCAGCCATGCAGGACTGCTGTATGCAGAAAAGCAGCTCCTACAGCTTATCCCACAATGGCTTACACAGCTTCGTTCACATTTCTTCAGATGAGACTTGAAAAGGGTGCCCTGCTCCCACCCCCAGCTCTCTCAGTCACAGCCCACACTGGACGTAAGGGTGAGAAGGCCCTTAGAAGGAAGGTGTTTGTATCAAGCTGGCACTAAAAAAGTGGCAATAACATATTTAAATAAATGAAGCACCAGGCTCCAAAGGGTCACTACCCAAGGAAGTGAAGTCCCAAGCAACATGCATGCCCAGGTACCTGTGCCATAGTCAATGCGGGTGGAGTTCCCCACAGATTCCTTCAGGTACACGGCCACTTCTGGAGCTGCGTCAGCCAAATGCTTGGGGATCACTGTTGCCACCAACTTTTCTGCTTCCTGAAAGACACAAAAGATTCTCTCAAATGAGTGCAGATTTGTCACAGTCCCCAGGAGCAAGTCACCCTCTGCACATACACTACTGCAGAGTGGGAGCTGCAATGGTGCACTCCCACAATGGCCAGAGCCAGTATGACAGAGGAGCAATTTCTCCAGAGATGGAGCAATTCGGGAAGAGCTTGCCCTGACACTTACCCAGGCCACACACATCCTGTAGGAAAAAAAAGCTTCACCATCCAAGTATCAACCCAGTTACCCACTGAGTCATCTCCAGGACAAAAGCATTAACAGGGCAGCAGACTGCCTGCAAGCTCATTGCTGCTGGGACTGAGCCTGTGCCACCTCCAGGGCTCAATGCAGGGCAAGTGCTCTGAGCTGAAGAAGTTGAGCAGTTTCACAACCTTCCTCTGATTTTGCATGTCACCCATCAGCTAGCAGACGCAGTGGGCAGTTACAAGGCAAAGCTGCTCCTTGGGCTTGGAGGGCCCTCGTGGACCGTCCAGGACTTGGAGACCCAGCCAAGAGCATTTACATGGACCATGTGCTCTCATAAGAGGAGAAAACAGCACCAAATCAGGGGTAAAAAATGCATATCAAGAGGTGGATCCTTCACAGCTTATCTGAGCAATTCCTCTGCAGGCTGCTTGGCTGCCACGCAACAACGAAGCCATTCTGCTACCCCTGCTGGGCATGTTGCCCTTCTGTAGGGACTGCATGTAACACTGCTCGTGACAGACATGCTCACCTGGTCTAGTTTGGCATACCAGGTCCTGAAGGCTTTGTTCCCAAAGCGAGAAGGTTGATCCACTGGCGGGGTTTCATCGATCCATCTATCAAGGGTGTTCAGAAGAGCCACCAGCTTTTCAATGGGCTATAGAGACAAAGAAGATGAGGGGTCACGGTGACATAAACAGAGCAGTCCCTCAGGTTCCAACATCTCTGCCCTGGATTGGAGTCGTCAAAGCCCACACCATCCTTCCTAAGAGTGGCAAGCGGAAACGGGATGTGCCAACAACCCCCAAAATGCAGAGGGGCCGGGAAAACCGTCCTTCCCCTCAGAAGATTAGTCCAGTACAAAGCCCAGCCTGAGGCAGGCTCTCCAGTCACCCACACAGTCTTTCATGAGCTGTAACAGCACAATGGTCTAAAACCTCTGGGCGAAGAGCTACAGCAAGCTCCTAGCTGTAGGACATACAGGACAGAGAAGCAGGGACCTCCAACAGAAAACTCAGGCTCTGAATCTTGAGGGTCCTGTCCCCCCCACAGGATACACCACAGCACTTACCATATATCCTCACCAGTGGCTGACAATGTGATTTAGAGGCCCTTCTGAAGGCCTCTAATCTTTGTCCTGAAGTGTCCCTTAGGAGCCAGGATTAGCAGTGATGGTGTTAGCGTTTGTACAGCACCCAGTGCCTAATCGCAAGTCAACCTTCTCAGCTTGATTCCCATTGCTTCAAACTCATACCAGCCAGACTGTTACGGCAGCTCCAACCCAGGGATACCCAGTGCATGTGGCAAAAATACAACCTACCCAGGGGAATAGGCAGCCTGGTTTGCCCACCAGTGGTCTCATCAGAGCAAGCATGAAAAGCTCTTAGCTATCAGAGAAATGTCTCAATATAAACACAAAGCTGATGGGAAGACAAATGCAACAACAAGACAAGAGAGCCACCTTTCTTACACTTTGCGTTGGAAGGAGAAAGTGAGGAACCTGCGTGGGATGTACGAGAGTGCCTGGAGGAGGCACTTCTGTGGCCATGAAGGAAAAGAAGAGAGGTGCAACAGGCGATACAGCACAACGTCTCAAGCCGTACTGTTAGGACTAGGGCTGGCCAATGCACACAGCCTCCTCCCTGCCTTGCCCATACAGCTGGGGAACGGCTACATGCCACGCACCAAGAGGCAGCACTGTAGGCAGCACTTTAAGCAGCTCCAAACAGTTTTAGGAGGCTCTGCCGACAACTGGTCAAGCCTGCCAGAGGCTCTGGGATTCTCCTCACCAGACTCCAAGCAGTTGGAGAGCCGTCAGCCGCCACAGCAGCTGGCCAGGCCCCGGGCAATGTAGGCTCCTCTATCTCAAGAGGGGATTCCTCCTTCAAGGGGACAAAGAGGACAGAAGAAGCAGCGGCTGGTTTGACTTTGCTGGAGGCATCGACCGTGTGAAGCCGGCTGGTCTCCTGGGCTGTGGTTCAATTCTTCACGCTGCCTGCTGGGACGACAAGGAAACAGCCGAGCCCAGCAAATTTCTAGCCCTTGAAGTGCCACTCGAAGGGGGCGGGTGAAGAGACAGGCATGGCAGAGCCATGCTGCTGCTGACCCAGCTGCAGATCGCTCCCCATGCCCTCCGCTCCCAGAAGGAAGGGTCTCATGGCAGACACAGCCTCCCACAGACAGCAGTTCCTCAGGAGCCAAGAATGCGGTGGGATCAGCCAGCGGGAAACAGGATCAGGCAGGGGAGGGATCCACCCACCCCACAGGACCTTGACACTTGGCCACTGAGCGAGGCTAGAGGCTGGGATAGAGGACAAGACCTGTGCACACCAGGAACACAAAAGACCGAAGTGCCAAGGGACAAGGGGGTCAGAAGCTCTGGGTGCCCTGGTGAGGCTGGAAGGTAGAGCCACTAAAAGGCTAGTGCCCCAGATTTGCGGGGACCGAGACAGCGTGACCCGCTCTGCTTCAGCTCCCTGCTGCCCAAAGCACTGCAGAAACCCAGCATCTTCCCAGCATCTGCACCAGGCCAGGTTTGGACTCAGCTCTACTCCTTTCTGGCTATTGCATTCCCCTCCAATTAAGCAACAGCGTCCCCTGTACTGGGTTGCCTTAAATAATTAAATCGTGCTGGTGATTTATCCGCCGGCACCAGCAGCTCATTATGAGCAGCTACCGTATTTCAAACCCCTCTCAGCAAGCACTCAGTGCTGCCTGGATAAATGGCTGGCAAGGACCAGCTCCTTCCCCCTCCCCAGATCTGCCTACAGGCCTTGGGGAGTGCAAGAGTCAAACCTCCCCTTCCCCACTCGCTTTCTTTAAAGGGATTAAAAAGCCCAACCCCACTGAACACGGGAGAGCAGGACCCAGCTGCTGGCTCAGCCATGCCAATAAATAATTAAAGAGATGCGGCTCGTTTTGGGCTTAAGGCCCTTTGAAAAGGGGGTTACTAAAAGAAGCAGCTTCCCATTGTCCAGCAGAGGAAACTTGTGCATCCAGGGCTGACCCCAGCAGGGGAGAAGGAGGGGAAGAGCAGAGCTTACGGGAACACAACCATCAGCACCACTGCAGCCTTGTTTTGCCTGGCTGGGTTTTTAAGCTCTATTTTTGCTTTACCTTTCCAGTGATCAAAGCAAGGGCAGCCTCCCCCACCACTCTCCTTGGTCTTCTCGTTGTGCTGATTTTGCATCCCCTTGACCCTGAGTCTGCCACCAGTCCCAAAGGCAAACCACAGAGCCTCCTACAGAGCAGAGACCTGTCAGCATCTCTCAAGAGCAGGGGCCAGGCAGACAGAGGTGCTGAGAAGGCATCATGGCAGCCAAAGCTGCCCACGGGGACCAGGCCTGCCCCTGTGGGTCCCTCGGGCCCGGTCAGAGGGGGGAGCTGCTAAAATCGGGGCATTTGCTGCTTCCCCCACTTCCCTCTTGGAACCAGAGCACAAGGCCAGCCAGTTTCCCCCAGTGCAGCCAGCTGTTTGAAGGGAAGGTCTGCTCCTCTCATGGCCAAAATTAACCTCCTCCTTGCTGCACTGCTCCTCTGATCAAAGTCGCAGCTTTGAAAAACTGCTCCAGGCTGCAGCCCCAGCAATCGCTGCACGGATCCCCATGTGAAAAACACTCCCTCCAGGAGGGGAAGGCAGGTCACAGCCTATCAGTCATACAACCTTGTGCCAGACAGAGCGTCTACGCCAGAGTCCTGAACAAGAGCTCAGCTATCACTAGTTGTCAGATGCCTCCAGCAAAACCCCAGACAGCTCCACGCAATTTTTCAGTAACAGCAGAGCAAGCTCAGCAAGTCTCAGAAGGGGCTCAGCCCCCAAAGGATCCAGCTCTCGCTCCAGCAGACAGTTTGGTATCGACACACGCTACTCTAGAAACCATTAAGCTGTCTCTTTCAAAGCAGAGCAGACCATACTTTCTTTTTTTTTCCACGGCAAAGCAGTATCAGTAAGTCATGGAGAGGATACGCATTCAGCAGAAAGGATTCCAGGAGGTCATTTGCCAAAGGAAGGCGTCCCCAGCATTTGATCAGGGAGGAAGATGGGACGGCACAAAAGCACATCAGCAGCAGGTACGGCAAAAGAGAAGAAAGCAGAGCAGAGATGCAGAGGCCACAAGGGGCTGAGCCTTTAAAAGCACAGATAAGCAGTTTGATCTACAAACGAACCCGCGTGAACAGGCAACCTCATCAACAAGGCAACCCTGGGGATGCTCCACCTGTGCCTCAAGTCACAGGCTTCTGCTCTCCTCAGCGCGAGGGGAATGAGACATGTTCCCTGCCACTTCCCGAGCAGTCAGGATCGTGTCTCGTTTATCAGCTGGACTGGGACTGCAGATAGAAAATATTCACTCCAAGAGGGATCTGCTGCACAGACAGAGCCCTGATACAGCTTTTCCTAGATAGCTGACAGCTCAAAGGGATTGGGCAGAAGGGGCCGGGAGGGGTTCCCCCTTTGTTTTGCTCATTTTTAATGTTTTGTTTCCCTAGAACAGCTCCGTGAATGGTTGGGAATGAGCGAGATTGTGACAAAGACGAAACTCAAAGGTGAAATGGAAACAATGGAAAACAAGAGCAGCATTTGACAGCAGTTTCTACTGAATTGAAGGAACAAAAGGCAGACACAAAGCCTGTTAGGGAGGGACTCATTATCCCTGATCCCCCCCATGCACTACAAGCAAGTTTCTCATTCACACGCTGGCTCCTAGAAGGGAAGGCTGGACTTAACATGCCTCCTTCAAACATAAATGACTAGGTTAAAGATCATGGTAGGCTGCCTTCCCACACCAGAGTGAAGCTATAAACACACAGGGCCCAGCCTGCTTCCCATTCTGCCTACATCTTTTTAGACTATTCCCAGCTTTCTTGCAGAGCTGTGATAAGTTTGAGCAGTAAAAATGTACCCAAGAATTTCCTCATTGCAATGCAGAACAAGGGAGGGGGATCCAGCGTGCAACACAGAAGCGAAGCTGGTGGCCAACATACGCTCTGCAGATCACAGCAGCACCCAGAGAGACCTCAGGCCAGCACCGAGCATGGCTGAGGCCAGGCAGTACCACCACTGAGGATGCCTGCCCTTCCTCCCTGGCTCCAAACGATCTCGCCATGCCCTGATAAGGTGAGCAGGCATTAAAACCAGCTGCGGCAGCAGGCAGAACCAGGTGACAGTCACATTAATGCAAGGGGAAAAAATAGGTCCTTTCTGCTTAACACCTTGGAAACAGCGATCCTGCCCCACAGGCTAAACCGACCTCCCCAGTGCAGTCCTCCTGCGCGCTCCACAGCCCCCGTAGCCCTCAGCACAACCCTTGGTCCAGATCCACTCAATGACATGCCTTGAGCTCACACGCTGTCAAACCAGACCTCGCGCAGCTCAGCTACAGCATGGGCCGAGGAGATTAGTGCTGTTAACACAGTCTGAGCAACAAGGAAGCCCAGGGACAGCGAGACGAGTGATTTGCCCAAAGTCCCACAGAAAGGCCAGTGGGAGAACAGGAACGGTACAGACATCTCAGCTTTTTGCTGGCAACCAAGAGGGAATACCACATCTTCGAAACATCAGTGGTTGAAGCCAGACTGTGAAAACAGGGTCAAAACATGTCCTTTCTGCATCCTCCTTTTCACCACCAGCTTCTGTCCACTTGTAACTTGCTTGATTTCCTATCCAGCAAGTAGACACAGAGCCTCTGCATCCTGGGGGGAGGACTGCAGGCTGCCATTTGCATCCCCAAGCATAACCCAACCGCATTTATTCTCCCTGGCTCCCAGATAAGCTGCCAACTCATTCCTCACCTAGGAAATATTCACTGTAGAGCCAAAAAACAAAGAAAAAAAAAAAAGGCAGAAAAGGAGAAACAAGGGGATCCAAACTCTTCTCCTACCTCTGAAACTTTGTATTCGCAGGTCAGCTTCTTGCCCCTGACACCTTCATTGAGAGTGAGGATGAAGCCCATGTAATCTGCGTATGCCTGCAAACACACCCGAGAGATCAGGGCGTTAGTGAATATCCACAGTCTGTCTGAACAAGCAACGCACAATGAGAGCACTCCTGCGCACCAAGGGAACCTTTCCCAACACACAACACTGCTTTCTTGGAGACACCCAGGGTGCAGGGCTTGCTGTGAGGTTACAGCTATTTTTGGCAGACATCAGAGGCAGATGGCGATTGCACTAAGAACTCTGCATCACTGTAAAAAATTACAGAGAGAAGAATCCTAAAAATTACTGCACTGCCCCCAAAATCATTCCCTCAGCTCCCTGTGTGCTATCAGGTCAAATCCAAACTCCTCGACTTTGCAGAGTCTCAGTTGTGCCTAGACATCCTGCTCTGCACTGCTTCTCCCAGACCTATGCCATTATCTCCCCTTTCCTCCTTCTACTCTTCTCCCATGCTCATGCATGATGGAGAAGTGGGAGACAGCCCAGGCTCCTCACCGCTCT